ATAGGATGCTTGAAGAGAACTGTATGATATAACGAGTAGATTGTCTTCTATATAAAGATGAAATTTTATGATTTTGCATTTTAGTAAGAAGCTGGAATATTAAGCGAAAACTTGAGAAAAAGTGTGGAAAACATACAAGTGCTATGCATATAGCTTTAGTGTCAGAATAACTGCACTTTTATAATTCATGTCCCATTAATATTAACCACTTCCCGACCGGCCGTTGTATATAAACGGTGGCAGTACAGGGGTCGGGTGGCCGTTTATGAACGGCCTCCCCACACCCTGCTTGTGCGTGCTCCCAGGGAGCGCGCAGCACCGCGATCCGGTGCCCGCTGTGTCCTCCGGACACAGTGAAACACCGATCGTCGGACGGGACCTCTGTACGAGGTCCCGATCATGTGATCACTGATTGGCCAATCAGTGATCACATGCAAAGTAGTAAGCAAGATGTCACTTGTGACATCATTGCTTACTATGTGTGAAATCTGTGAATGATCACAGAGGTCACATGGTACAAGGCTATTCACAACAGCCTTGTACCATGTGACAAGCTGTGACCAATCACAGCTCACTCAGTATTTCTCAATGAGTGCAGGAATGCACACAGAGAGAAAGAGAAATGATTGCTTTTACATCCTATATGGGTATAAAAGCAATCAGTAAAAAAAAAAAAAAATCTTCATCACCCCCCACAAGTAGTACAGTGTCACCATGGTGACACTGTACTGCTAGGGTGACAGTATGTAAAAAAAAAAAAAAAAAAAAAAAAAAATATAAAAAAAAAAAAAATAAAAATGTAAAAAAAAAATGTTTAAAAATTATAATTTTTGGTTATAAACTAATTTTTTTTTGTTTTTTTTGCTAAAAAGATAACGGAATACATTTTGGCAAAGATGTATGATGAAATATTATTTATTTGCAAAATTTTATTAAAAAAAACAATTTTGTTCAAAATATTTGGACTTTTTCATTACATAGCAAAAAAAATAAAAATCCCAGTGGTGAATAAATACCACCAAAATCAAGCTTTATCTGTCTCAAAAAAAATGGTAAAAAATTAATTTGGGTACAGTGTTGCATGACTGCGCAATTGTCATTCAAAGTGTGATAGCGCTGAAAGCTGAAAATTGCCCTGGTCAGGAAGGGGGTAAAAGTGTCCGGTCTGGAAGTGGTTAAAGCGGAGTTCTACCCGGAAAAAAAAACCTAAAAGTCAGCAGCTACAAAAACTGTAGCTGCTGACTTTTAAAATACAGACACTTGCCCGTCCCTCAGTCCAGCGGTGTCCTCACCATGGCTGGTTTCACCGGGCCATCTTTTCTCCCTGGCACCGGCATCTTCAGTGTGGGCACCCGGCTGTGACAGTTTGTGGCTTCACACAGCTGGGTGCCAACTGCGCATGTGCAAGTAGCGCTGCACTTTGTGAATGTCCCTGTCATCTTCTGGGACCTGTCATGTGTCCCAGAAAACTACGTGGAGGGAGGGTAGGAGGACAACATCCGCTTTTGATTGCTTTGGCAATCACAGCGATGGCAGGAGCTGGTACCTGTCAAATTCAGGTACCTGCTCCAACCCCCCCCCCCCCCCAAAGGTGCCAATCCAAAATGGGGAGCAGGGGACAAAGGATTAAACTTCTCCTTTTGGGTGGAGCTCCCCTTTAACCACTTTCCCACTGCCCTATGGCAGATATACTTATGTATGTATGTACGTACGTACGTACGTATACACACACATATACACGTGATTTTGCATTCCTGGGTAGGGGGCACGCCTGAAGCGCACGCGTGCCCTACTCACGACGCCATTCACGGACTGTTTGTAAACAATACAGTTCTCTCCCGTCAGCTCCTGCACACTGCTTTGCATGGCTGTGCATAGCAAAGCCATTCAAAGCAGTGTGCTTACAGTGAAACACAGACACAACCCATGTAAAACAGCAAACAGCACACAGTTAACCCTTTGATCACCCCACATTAACCCCTTCCTGCCCAGTGCCATTAGTACAGTGTCAGTGCTTTTTATTAGCACTGATCACTGTATTGGTGTCACTGGGGATGTCAGCGACACCAAGTCAGTCCCCCCCCCCCCCCCCCCAGTGTCAGAATGCCTGCCGCAGTCCCACTAGAAGTCGCTGATCGCCACCATTACTAGTAAAAAAAAAAAAATACAGAATCTATACCGCCATTTGTAAACACTATAACTTTCACGTTAATTTACACGTATTGGGTTTTTTTTATTAGCAAAGACATGTAGCAGAATACATTTTGGCCTAAATTTATGACAAAACTTGATTTTTTAAATTTTATTACTGGATATTGTTTTTTTTTTCTCAAAATAGTCTCTTTTTTTATAGCACAAAAAATTGCACAGGCAATCAAATACCACCGACAGAAAGCGCTATTCGTGGGGGGGAAAAAAATTACGTAAATTTCATGTGTGTGCAGCGTTGCATGACCGCGCAATTCTCAGATAAAGTAACGCAGAGCTGTAACGCAAAAAACGGCCTGGTCAGTAAGGGGGGGGTAAATCCTCTGGAGGGCTAGTGGTTAAAGAATTCAGATTAAAATTGTAAACAAACATCATACAATAAGCAGATCCATGCTCTTTATCAGATTTGCAGACATGGTGCTGTTGGTGAAGCGTTTTTCCTTTCCTAGTCTGCCACCGAGTGGTGAGAACAGAATATTAAACTGTTCAGTAATGAAGCCAACTGATTTTGGGTCCATTCACAAAACATGTTGTGGTAGTGCGTTGGGTGGCTATTCCAGTGCAGTCCACGACATGACAAGGCAAACGGTCTTGTCTCTTTATCTGCCCGGTTCACTGCTGTATTTTTTTTCAGCGCAGTGCAGAGCATCCACTACCTTGCACTGCATGGATGGCAATGAAATTGTATGTGATTTGTGTGTGAGATCACAATAGTTTGTTAAAAAAAAAAAAAAAAATGTAAAAACCGGAAACCATGCAAATTGCCAAGATTGGCGCATCATCACAGCACTGATCTCAGCTAGACTGCACACCAGCCACTGCGCTACAACACAGTGGCTGGTGAGAATGAGCCCCATTCACAGCTTGGCAACCTGGTGTGTTGCATATAATCTGGCCAGTAAAATGAATGAGCTGAAATTGCACCAAAAACATCCACACAAAAAAACACCTAGACATGCACCATTTTTGGCAAAGCAGAGCACGGCAGTGTATTACCATTTGTTATAGTACACTACTAAGCTTGTGCTTTGGAGCTGTGTTGTCTTCAAAATGAATGGCATCACAACAAATGCGCATTAACCCCTTCACGCCGCCGTCACACAAATATGAGGCCTCGAGGAACTGGGCTTTTTTTCCCTTGGGCCACATATTTGCGTTCTTGCCTTTCTGCTGGGAGCGCGCCGCACAGCGTGCTCCCAGCACAAAGACCAGGGTGTCACTGAGAGCCCCGGGTACCGTTCTAATGATCAGGACCTGGGACTCCCGATTCCGGGTCAAATGAACGCTGTGATAGCCTCTGATTGGCTATCACAGTGATCAGTCACTGTATAGCCCGCCCCCTTTTTTTTTCTCTATGAATGGGAGAGAGAGATACGTTGTAACTTCTTGCATAGAGAAAAAAAAGCAAACTGTTAAAAAAAAAAAAAAATATTAAAAAGAAAAAAATAACTAAATCAAGGTTTGATCTAGTTCAATGCAAGGGTTAGTGTTTAGGTCAAAGGTCAGGGTCAAATGTCAGCTTTTTATATATATATATATATATATATATATATATAATATTTGGTATCAGTGTGTTTTAGGTAGAAAAAAAAACAAAAACAAAAAAAAACCACTATTGTTTCTGAGCTGTATTACAGGTACAAACAACAAATAACATACACATATATGTGGTACCGCTGCGATCATCAAAAGCTGGAAAATTTATTTTGGGTTGTTCTTTGGTGGTAGGTTATGGTAGTAACAAGAAAAACACAGCTAAATTTATTAAAAAAAAAATTTTTTTTTTTTTTTTTTTTTTTTTTACTATTTTGGGCCAGTTTTCCTTTGATAATTAAAAAAATCAGGAGATATCTGTTACCATTTACCACCAAATGAAAGCCCAATTTGTCCTGAAAAAAAACAAGGCATAATTCACCTGGGTGTACAAAGTAGTTGTGATGATATGAATGGTTTTACCAACACGTCAACATTGCAAAATTATGCTTAGGCATTTAGATTTGTTTTACCCTTAGGCGTGAAGGGATTAAAGTGGTTGTAAAGGCTCAAGGTTTTTTACTTTCATGCATTCTAGGTAAAAAAAAAAAAATTATGTGCAGCAAGCACCCCCAAATACTTGAGAAGGAGAAGCGCCTCTAAGTGCAGCATAACACTTTATTGAAGATAAAAGGTAGGAAGACTCACATTTATGAGGTAAAAGTAATGCATGGTATAATGGTATGATGTAACATCGGACAGGGGAGTGTAGTCATCCGTATAACTGAGCTGTCATTGGTAAAAGGTCTCAGCGTGCCGCTGGAGCAGCGTGGTGGCTGGAGGGCAGACAACTGAGGTGCGGCCGGCGTCAACGTCCTCACTCTGAGCCGGGTGGAACGCATGCTGGAACTCAGCGTTGGCGTGAGCGCAATGACGTCAGTATCCCAAGGTGCACTGCGACGCTTTTCGGAGCATGCGCTGGCCGGGAAAGGCAGAAGTGCGCTCCTTTTTCCCTGCTTGAAAAAAAGAGCACACTTCCGCCTTTCCCGGGAAGCACATGCTCTGAAACGCGTCGCAGTGCACCTTGGGATACTGACATCGTGCTTATGCCGCCGCTGCGTTCCACCCAGCCCAGAGGGAGGACGTGCACTCAGGCCGGCACCTCAGCTGTCTCCCCCCTCCAGCCACCACGTTGAGACCTTTTACAGATGACAGCTCAGTTATATGGATGACTACACTCCCGTCTGATGTTATATCATACCATGCATTACTTTTACCTCATAAATGTGAGTGTTCCTACCTTTAATCTTCAATAAAGTGTTATGCTGCAGTTAGAGGCGCTTCTTCTCCTTCTCATCCTAACAGAGTCCGCTACAGTACTTCTTGAGAGCTTGCCCTTTGTGCCATACGGGCCCCCCACCACAGACACCCTAACCATCATTACCCACCACCAGGTCTACCTAGGATTCAGTTCTTGTGCTGATTGACTCTCTTCATCACCACCACCGCATACCAGGATAGCCCAGGACCTTGAACAGTTTTGCGCTGATCACCTCCCTTCATTTTCTTCAACCCCCAAATACTTACCTGAGCGTCAACACAATCCATGATGTGCACAAGAGCCTCCGCTCTCCGGGGACTCTTTCTCCTCATTGGCTGAGACAACAGCGGGAGCCACGGCTCTGTTTGAATGGACACAGAGCAGCTGCTCGGGAGCGAGGCTGCCTGGGTGCCCCTATAGCAATCTGCTTGCTCTGGGGGGCACTAGGCAAAAGGCAGGAGCATCGGCGGGGGATAAACGAAGAGGAGGATCAGGGCTGCTCTGTGCAAAACTACTGCACAGAGCAGGTAAGTATGACATTTTTTTTTTTTTTAAATTGTCTTTACTATCACTTTAAGGTAAAGCACGCACCTCCACAAAGCACTACAGTAAAAAGTGCATTTGGCCTTTATACTCCTCAGATTCACCAACATTTTTTACAACTCCCTTGAAGTAACAATGACCATGAAAGGTACCTACCGCTATTTCCACAGTCTGCACATGATATGAGCTCCTCTGGTTTCTTCTCTCGGTTATGCTCCTTTGTTCCCAGACAAAAACTGCATATTGGGATAGGCTCAGCGACTGGCTGCAGAAGATAAAAACCACAGAAAAGCAGGTAAATGATGTAGTTATGCACAGTATATAGCGCTCTCTTAAGCTGTCTATAAAGGAAAAGATTTTCACTTTTTGCTGGGCTGGTACAAAAGCCCATGCTCAGTATGAAATGTTGTATTAGATGCAATTAAACCCAAAACAGGAAACAAACATACTAATAACCTACAGCACTGTATTTGTGCAAATAACTATTACCCCAAAGAATAAGAACAAAAAGGATTCAAAACTTGTCTGTCACTTCCAGGATAGCCACAAACAGAACTGGTTGCTGGGAGGCAATGCAGTTAGTTCTTACTAAACTGATGAAAAAGGGCCCCCTATTTATACTGTATGTGTATTTATAAAATACCAACTAAAAATGAATGAGTGATGATGGTGCCCAACACACCAGTACTCTAGAAAAGTGCTGGCAAAGTCACCCAGTCACCATATCATGCAGCACCTTCCTTGTTGCATACAGAACATGCATTCAATAGTTTAAAGGAGAAGTGCAGCCAAAGATTGTTTGGCTGTACTTCTATGGATCACAGGAGTGCGGTTTTTTCTGCATTCCTGTGAAGCGTTTTTAGCCAACGGTGAGCTAAAGTCCGCCATTAATGACGTCACTCAACTGGTCCAGATTGGGAAAATACCCCAACTTTAAAGTTGGGATCCACCCAGATGTTTGGACCGGCACCTGGCTCAGCCTCAATGATCTGCTGAGAACCTGAGCCAACAGCTCCCACCCCCTTCACAGCCCAGCAGTCCAGTGAGTGCTGGGGGGCAGAGCAGTCACTGCTTCCTGCTCAGAGTGGCTAGGAGAACTGAGCGATCAGCAGTGTCCGACCGCTCAGTTCTCAAACTTAGAGATCCATCAGGAGACAGATGGAGTATGATTTTAAAGAAAATAAATAAATCCCACACTTCTCTTTTAATACATTAACATCTGTGAAAGTCCATACCAGACTTTGACCATAACCTCTGATATTCAGCACTTGAGATAACATATAATGCAGTACGCATGGTTGTATTCCACGTGTGGTCATGAAAGGGAACTCAGACTATTCCTTTAGTTTAACATCTCTAACACACACACCTGCGCTTTGTCCATGCACAGGAAAGTAACAGGTTCCCTTTGAATGCTGCCACTAGTGATGGAAATACCCTTTACAATCAGGTATAGAAAAGCATGTTACAGCACTTGGTCCACAGCTGTCCCTTGGGGATGGGAAGACCGTTCATTATGGGTAAGCTCCAACTTAAATGATAAGTTCACATTTGGGAACATGTTGCACTGTCTTTTAGGGTGGAGCATGTAACATGTTCCAGCTACTGCAGCCTCTCCCCAATGCCCCTCTCCTATCTGTGACAATAGGCCAAATATCTTCTCCCCACACCAAAATTTTAAAAGAGTGCAGCCCACACAGCCATGTCATTCATTCACAGATTTCTGTGAATGAATCAAGTAACAACAGCTTTTGCAGCTGATGGTTTATAGTTCTCAAAGAACTACTAGGGCGCTTGAGTGCTCTAGGTAGTTCATTGATTCTTCCTATCACTGTGACTGCCTGCCTACGAGGTATGAGCAGACAGCTTACACTGAAGTCTGCAAGAGCCTGAGATTACACCCGAGAACTTCTGATCGTGAGTGCAATGCTCTACAGGCTTTGAAGGAAAACAAAAAATTAAAAAAAAAAAAAATGTTAATTTTTTTACCTGCAAAAAAAAAAAAAAAAAAAAAAATAAGCATTTTTTTTTTTTTTTTTTTTAGAAAAGGTGAACATATTCTTTAATCTTACACAGGGCTGTTTTTCCTCATCCCCAGAGGCTGAATGGAGCAGCAAAGACTGAGATGCAAGGCATCATATTCAGTTGGGGACAGAAGAAAGCAAGCCCAGCAAAGCGCAGTGTCACTTAAAAGCCAGGCATGGGAGCAGGCTTCTTGCTCATAACCAGTTAGCATATTAGATCTAATAAAGGCAAATTGGAGTTCAACACTTTGTCAGTAAGTGCAGCACATCTATAAACCTTCTGTCCTCATAAGGGGGATTAGATTGGAAGTCAAAGAACACTTTTTCCCCCATTCATAGCAAACCTCACCCCTCAATGTGCCTCGCCTTTTATGTTCAGAGTGCTGGTGCCCAGTGTCATCAGCACACCTCCCTTTGCCCACAGACTCCCTCTCTTCTGACATTGCTTGATGTGTAGGACCCTCTGAATCCACTTCTTCTAAAAGGATTAGTTCAGTTTGTAATCAAAAATCAGTTACTCCTCTCTATTTACCCCCCATTATAACCTAGTACTCCATTCCCAGATGTGTACTTACCTCTCCATAACAGTGACAGCCACCCACAAGATATTTACCCTCCTGTGCCTAAAATACTCTTCAACCATGCCTGAGCTACAAGTCCGCATAGACTTCAATGGGGCTGCAACTCTAGGCCTCAGTTAGCTTAGGGTTAGGAATAATGGGTTACCATTTAAAACTAGACTTTACTTTAAATAAAAAAAAAAAAAAAATGACACACAGCTGCTGTTATACACAAGATCATCCAACAAGCATCAGCATAGTTTGTATGCAAGTAGTTGAGGGGAAGAAAAAAAAAAAAAAAAAAAAAAAGGAAGCCAATACAAGGGGCTACTCATTCCCTGCCAAACACACAGATACTCCTGCATGTGGTTGCCTTCAGCAGCCATTATCTACTTGGCTCCTGGCATCTGTTCAAACCTGGGTATTATGTATATCTATAAACAGGGTAAAAAAACAAAAAAAAACACAAAAACACATCCAACAAGACCAGCAACCAAAATGAATAGACTCAAGTGCCAAGTCACACGAATAAAAAGGACTGAGAAAGAACATGGAGTCATCTAGCTTATCTAAGACAAGAGATGGATAACTATAGAAGAGAAAGCAACCTCCTCCTCCCCTAATGTATGAGGAATTTAGACATTCACAAAGTGTACAGACACTGATGGTTATGTCCATCGGAAACAATTCCCCTTTAAGGACTGGCTAGGCTCCCAGCTGTCCCCCGCTCCCTGGTTAAGTGTCACTGCTAGCAGCAGATGTCCTCCATCTGCACACAGAGGAGAGCTGAGAACCTGAGCCAGGACTAAGGCAATACGAGATGCTTGTTTATCAGCTGAGAGATCCCGCGGCCGGAGACATCACACGCTGATACTTGTATACATGTTTCACTGTCAATGTATATATACACACACCTTACGGGGGGGGAGGTACACCTCTGAAAACAAAACACAGTCTAATAGTGTGTGCAGGACGACATCATGCAAAGAAATGTGTCATGAACCATTTACTTGAGCAGCCAACCCTATTCCCAAAACTGTATGGTATAGAATAAGGAAAATGGTTATGTAGTAAAAAAAAAAAAAAAAAAAAAAAGTGTGTGTGTGTGTGTGTGTGTGCGCTCGCTCTCGCACACGCACTCTCAGAGACGCATTCCCCTTCTATGAACAGCAGAGGAAAAAACATGTACTGTCTGAGCAAACCCTTATTGACTCAGAGTATAGCTCCAGCCAAACCTTTGCTCTTTTCCTAAAGTATATCTATAGTAACAACTTTCTAAACACTTTGGATACAGTGGGGAAGGATCAAAACTCCGGTCAGCTTTTACTACAGATCCCTTCCTGTCTGGTAAAAAGGTCGTCTTCAGAACAGGAAGTATGGGGAAATCTCTGCAAAGCTCACTACACACGTTACAATCTGATTGTACAATCTCATTTAGATCTACCAACAACCATGAAGTGCAAGGGTCTGCCTGATTGGATACAAATTTTCTAGATTAGGTAGATTCTCATACTGCATAGTTTTGTTAAACCTAAAGTTGACTGTACAAAGATATAGCCAGATAGCTACGTGTGTGGTGACCCTTAGGTTTCATGTACATTGAAGATCTCTTGGACACCAAGCTCTCCTGGCTGCTGAAAAACGCTAAATGCTACAAAAACGAGTGTAAAAGTGGTACCGTGTTTAGTGCTTTGGCGGTTATTCATTTAATTGGCCAAAGAATTTGCCATTGAAATTAATGCCGAAATGCTAATTGCGGCTTGCGCTGAGGCACGTTTACACATTTTTGCCATGTTTTGCTGTTTTTGACCAAAACATTCCTCTCCTAAACACGATTCTTCTGTGTTTAGAAGCAGTAGTGCTTAAACTCTCATTGGTTTTCAGCCCACATATGCAAGGTGGATGGAGGATTCAATAAAAAAAGAAAAAGAGAAGCCTCCTGTGCTGCCAGATATCCGAAAAACAAAACTTAAGTGGCTGCTAACACCTAACTATAATCAAATGGTGAACAAAATGTAGGAAAGAAATGGTGCTGCGCTACTTATCCATAAAGTGAACAATCAACATAAAGGCAAATAAATGATGTGTAAGAGGGTGCTGCACTACTGATTCATAAGTGATCAGCATAAAACCATCAAAAAATGAGTGAACAATCAGCATAAAACCATATGACTCATGTGAAAAAGAAAATTATCCCAACAGATGTGAAACAATAAGTGTCACAAGTTGCAACAAAGGTAAATGGTGACCAATTAATAAATGCAAAAAACACAGAATCATCAAGTGTTCAGTGGATAAAATGCATTATAAATATATATATGGAAAGCAAATAATGTCAATGGTGAAAAATTGTGGCATAAAACAAAAAATAGTCCCAAAAAAACACAAATTGTGTGTATATCTTCAGCGCAAAGCCATGAAAACTCAGTGACCCCAAGCAAACGGGCAATCCTTCACCGCCTAGTGTGCGTGCTCACCTTCCAACTGCAACCCGCAAGGAGTCACAAAGCATTTCCAGGTCATCAGGACCTAACCCCAGCCTGTGACTGGACAGTGAAATTAGAAGCAGCCCAGGGATTCACTCTCATCTCTGTCACTCTGCTCACTTCCTTTCAGCATGCTTCTTGACATTACATTAACTGATTTGCTCCTTGTGCTGCTTCTCCTTCTCACACTCAAGA